TGGTATAGGAAAGATTCAGTTTTCCGGATATAGCAGTTGTGAAAGACGTCCTTCAGTGAGTTTAGAAAAGTTAAGATACAATAGCCCAACAATGGATAAAGTGGCATGGATAGTTAATGTTCATGCCCACATAACAACTATAACTATTGTCTGGGCTTATTGTATTGGTGTTAAATTGGGAGAAATGATAGCGCAGCGAAGTTCAAGAGAAGAGTTGTATAGTTGGCATCAGTGGATAAGTGACAAGAAATTCTCTACGATATAAGTAATTTTAATCTTGTTATTAACTAAAAAATACAGAAATGCTTGATGATAATCAAAAACACTTAAAAGTACATAAAATTTGTACTTTGATTTATTTTTATATTAGTATCATTTTTAATCCAAGAATAATGCAGTATATGATGTGAATAACAGCTTGCAATAAATATCATATATTGAAAAATAAACTGTACTTATTAAAGAGAAATTTAGAACCTGCAGAGAATATTAAAAATAAACACTTCTTGTGTAAATGTTCAGGACTTCTAAGTTTAAGATATTTTTCCTTTTTGGAAGTCAACGAATTAATGAGTTTAACGAATATACCAAATAAAGATTTTCAAAAAATTATCCTGAATCCACGTGAATTGATTTTCTATCTTATTTTCTGAAAAGAAAGAGTTCAGAGTGTTTAACGTGAATACCTGCAGTGAAGGTTTAGCACCACAGTGTTCTTAACACACGTATCAAGACGATGCGCCGATAAACGCCACATTGATATTCCAAGGCATTTTTACTGGTACAAGTTGAAGTAATGTATTTGGATATTACTTTTCCCTTGCTAAGAAGCGGGGCCTAACTAACACATCTGTTGATCTTTGGGTCACAGTACAAAATTAAATAATGTAACGCCACATCAAATTAAAGTAAATAAATTTATACTTCCAGTCAGGTGCCGCAATTGAAAACTCACTCACTACATTTTACACTTCAAACAGTATCGGATGGTGCCACTGGAGTTTACGCATCGCTTACTACATGCAAGCCTTAACTCGGAAATATTTTAACCCATTTCCGGCAAGAGTTTGCTAAAATAGAATTGGAATTTCGTTTTAGGATGTGTGACAATAAAACGGAGACTATTCACTATTTGAACATTAAAAGAAGGTTTTTCGGTACTAAAGCCAATTCCCACAATAAATTATATGAAATTATTTGATGAGGTTATACTTGCAATAGTACACAGTCTCAATATGGGTCTAGAAATGTTGTTTATGGATATCTTTAGCCTTACGTATGTTGAAACATAATAAATAATACATTTATCTATTAATTAAAACATCTTACACCTAAACATTTAATACATTTTATTAGCTTATAAATGCCGTAATAAATTATGGAACAATTATTAGCGTTGTTATGTCTACTCCACATTGGTGGTACTTCATACTTTTTCACTTTATTAACTCTATTTTACATATAAACCATATTTAAATACACAATATAACCTATAATTATACACGAAATTCGGCAATCCAATATAAAATATAAAATACAAACCTAAAACTTATAAACATAATACTCGTATTAATGAACTGAGCTACATAATCAGCGAATCAGCGTTAAGGAAATAAAAGAAAGCTGCATAAAAACTCTAATTTACATTTTAAAAAACATAAAATAATATTTATAAAACTGAACAAAACGAACTTGAAAGTGTTTCATAAGTTCCATCCGAAATGAAAAAATACTGAACTTTTTCCATAAATTATGCACCAATGACCAGCAATGACCACCAACAAAACAATACAACTTCAGTTTATTAAATTTGACAGATACATTTACCCTGCAGTTAATTCACAATTTATGTTGTGTGATTACACAGAGAGTAGATACATCATTTCGTGCATTTTTGCGCTGATGTGTATGCACATAAATACCGAAGTATCTGGAAACATACTGAACAATGTTTAATTTGTTCGAGTTTTGGCAACAACGCCAAAAGCTGCACTAAATAAATTTTAAAAATTTCAAAAACATTTAAGAAAATTTTTTAAAATTTATCGAACAATGCAACCAAATGAAATTGAGAAAAATCGTAGTCAACGTATGCGGAAAGTCGTAAATTTGTACAAATTAGTTCGGCATTTATCGCCTGAATTGAATTGTACCCAAGCAATGCAAACAATAAAATCTACCTTTGAGATACTCGAAATCCGAACTCTACGATTTTACGATTTTACGATTATACGAATTTATGAATTTATGAATTTATGAATTTACTAGCAAAATTTTATTTAATTTTACGACTTTTGTTTTTATTTTTTTTAATTGTGTTGTGATTTTGTGTCTAAACGAAAGCGAAAGTTCACATTCAAACTAAAAGGCATGTAAACTATATATCGACCACATTGTTATTGTTTAGATACAAGCGCATGTGTATCTGAATATGTATCTGAATCTACTCGTACATGCAAGCAAGTATTGTTATCGCTGCGGTGGCAATTGCTGGCAATTTAATTTAATAAATTGTTCGGTAGTGAACAACGATCTTTCAATTTATTTTGTTTTTTTTTGTTTTTAAATTTTTTCTGACTGATTTCATTATTCAATTTTTGGTTATTTATGAAGTTTTATGAAGTTTTATGAAGTTTTCAAAAATTTTTATGATGGCGGTAGCGGTTTATGTGTCACTCACTCACTTTTGTTCGATTTTGATATTTTTTGATTGATTTTTGATGGATTTTTGATGGACCATTTTTTTGATCTTAACCAAAGTTAACCAAATTCTGTGGTAAAATTTTTGAAATTCAATCGTTTCTAACAAATGCTAGGAAATAAAATATGACATATTTTGTGGTATAACAAAAGCCTTTTAAGCTACAAAATTTTTAAAATTTTTCATAAAAAATATATTAGAGTTTTCAAACCTTCACCCAAAGTTTTGTAGGTTCAATGCATAAGAAAAACTCATTCGTTAATTACATTGTGAACTGTTTTTGAAAGAATAAATAATAAATATTCAAATATATAATAAAGCTTATGGGGTATTATAATAATTATTAAGATTTGATTGTAAATATGAACAAATTAATTTTAATACTGAATTAATAAAAGATTTAATTATAAAATTGTATTTCGTATTATATGTGTATATAGAGATGTTATGTTATTGACAACCCGTCTTTTACAAGACGGTCTTCCTAAACCCTTTGAAAGCGAGTTTGTTATGTTACCACAAAAAAGCTTGAATGCACGCTGCCTGAGAAAATATTGTATACGATGTAATAAGAATATCTTATTCAAGGATGAACTTACTTGATCGACCGAGAAATCACAGTACTGTTTGTATAACAACAGCAATGTCTTCAATGAATATAGATGATATATATCAATGATATAGATATTTAAGGAACGAAGAGCTTAGAGTAGACTAATAAGCTTGCGATTGATAGGTAGTGACTGCATAGATCAGCAACATTGGGATATGCAATAAAATGTTGCATAGATTATTGAGAAAATAAGAACCTAGAGCGAATCATATTTCAATGAATGCAGAGCGAGTAGAGGACAGATAAATACTTTCTTCTTTTCTTTTAATTCAGAATTTTAACAGTAGTTCTATCCGATCAGCATACCTGGTTATTAGACTTGTGTCCCGTAGTGTCCTCTAAGTACAGCAACTACTGTATTGTTTATGATGCGGTTTAGATGGAGGAATATATATATTATTACATATAAATATTTATCATTATATAGATATAAATTAGTCTCTTCGATTCCCTTATTAAGGTATGGCTTTTCAGACTTAAGTGTTCGGACTATTCTTGGCGTGTCAGTTCATTGCATTGTGAGTTTGCTATTTTTATTCATATCCAAGTGGGAACTAAGCTCTTCAATCTCTTACTAGTTAACTCTCCAATCTCTCTCACATTCAATCAAGACTAGTCAAAGTATGTTTCTGGGTAGAAATCAGGAAGTTACTTTGACCCTCTGATTGTAAGAACAAGCTTAATATAGTTGGAGCAATAATCGAAGACTAAGTCTTTGAATTTAACGACTATATTTTATTTTGTGTGAGCAGTTATGCAGTCTTGATGGAAAATGATTTCATCTTCTCCAAAACAAGTCTATTTCAAAAGGTTACAAAATAATCTAAGCTTATTATTTTAGTAATTGA